TTAAAGTAGCAACAACGCTACACATTGAAACTGATGATGGTGGAAAACACCGAAACGTTTTTTTAATTGATAAATAGACAATAAATGACTGAAGAGCCCAGGATTTGATTTTAATTTGGTATTGTCGTAATGCCGTGTATAGTTTGCATAAATGTTAACGAATAAATAAAAACCAACATAAAAGTGAGTGCATTCCATGTTCCAGCAACTGGGGAAAGAACTGTTTACCTCTTCCTTGAGGCGAGAAAAGTTTCATAATTTACCTCCCTACTTTGGGCTTTGTTTTGTTGCCTGTGGCTAAAGTCTTTTTAGGTGGTTTCAATTGCCGGATTATCATAGTAGCTTCGCTCCAGTTTAAAACAGGGCTGAATTTTAAATCATTCATTGTTATTAAGTGCGGCTGCTCAGAGCAGGAAATATAGACGCAATGTCGAAGTAATGAGCTGAATCATTTAACGGAAGCATTAACAAAATTAGATTGAAACTATTGAAAGTTGGCCCAGAAGCCGAAAAGTCACAAACTGAAATTGAAGCCTTAGCACCCAAGCATTATCATCCTTTTGCTCAAGCTAGACATATTAAAGCGGTGTTTCGTTCAATCGAGTGAAAGTGTTCCAAGGCAAATTTGGTATGCAAATTGATATCCCCATCTCCAAACTTGGAGTTGTGTTAGTTAGGGATGATGGTAATTAACTTTGAACGCCATAAGCACGACTTTAAACGATTCTGATAGCATGACTTTAGGTTTAGTTTGATGAATGCTTAATCGGAATTGAGCCATTTATGGAATTTGATTGTTTGTTTAGAACTCCACGACTTCCGCTTTTAGGATTAATACTCTTTTCGTATTTCCATCGCGATTAAAACGGGAACTAACTAATAGAACTTAAAAGTACTACGTAATAATTCATGGTATAGCAGTTTCCGCGGTTTATATGCTCGTCTATACCCTGATGGAAGCACTAATGTTCCTCTAATTCGACATATAATGGAAATACATCAAGCTCAAACGATTCGGCGAAATAGGGTTCCACTGTTCACATATTAATCTCCAATAATCCCATTAAATATTTATATTAATTGGAATGCGAAATTCCATCTTCCGCGGAATTCCCGGATGTTCAGGCAACATTTTAATTCTTGCAGGTACATCACTATAATGATCAATGTGAAAGCCCCTCACATTGCTATTCAACTTTTTATCCCTACTTGAATTGAGTATTTTTAAGCGTTGATGATGGATTCACGCGACCATGTAATGCCTCCTGCATTGTGTGAATATCCAAATAAAACACGTTATATCCACATTCGCTGTAATATTACAAGCTTCGTCCATTATCAATATCATCAGGATTAAGGGACCTCGTCCATTGTCTGTTTGTTTTTGAAGCCCTTTGTTGGCAAAAAAGCTCTGCTTGTTTCAGTGTCTTCAAAATAAAAACGCTTCTTTCGCTACAAGGGTCGCGAAATTATAAACAAAAGGTTCAATTTTAAGAATCGCAACGACAGCGTTTGGTTGAGAATAGAAACGAAGCCAAAAACAAAGTAGGAACTCATCAAGCAGGCTGGCGGGAGTCCAAAGTTTAGATTAAACATACGGCAATTTCCGACAAAAAAAATCGCGACGTCTTGCAAATATATAGACATCTGGCAGGAAAATTGGACCGTTCACTTAGGAAATTTAGAAAAGCTTCAGGAGACACAAAGATAAATGCCTCAAGCTCCAGAATTGCAGCACTGGAAACGCGATCATGACAGTGAAAATTCGTATTTGGCGGGGCTGGAAAAGCAGTTTCCATTGCCACCGCAATTCAGATCGATTCACTAGCCAGAGCTTTCCACGGATTTTCCACGCGCAAGCTCTGGTCTTGCAATTCCATTGGAGTACATTCATGTCACATTTTCTTCTATATATAGCCTGGCCGATGAGTCATACTGACTACAGTGTTTCCCTCAGCGTCAGCACCCGGTGTCTGAGTGCTTCAGATTTGTGCTTTTCGTAAACGATTTTTTTTTGTGATTTGACTGGTGGTGTTCGGTGACTTCACTGTGAATTGAGTAAGTTGTTTTGTCGTTAACTGTGCGAATTTTATGCAAAAGCTTTCCGAAATTTTGACTTTTTGCTTTGGCTTTGGCGCCAAAACTTCAGAGCGACAGAGCGTCATTCTATGTACCATGCGTTTGTTAAATTTTCGAGTTCTGTATCAGTGACGAAACCGCGAAACTATAAAATTAGTTTCTTAGGAAACTTGTCCATAAAAGCGCACTGTTTCGGTACTTTCTACGAGAAAACTTTGTTTGAAATTGAGTAATTTCCCACAACAAGACATAAAGGATGATAAGGTGGAAGTTTTTCATCATCCAAAAACTCTATTATATCAAGAAATGGATGAAACGGTTATCGGAAAACTTCTTTTGGATATGAGAAAAGTTTCAGGAAACAATACGGCATTTTGCAAGGAAACTTTTGACTTTAACAAGGTTGAACATATTAAAAATGTCCGAACCACAACCAGATGATTAATGGCTCGTGTGAACCACTGGGATTTTTTGAAACTTTCACGAGGGATTTGAATTTAGATTTTCACGCTTGGTTCTTATGTCCTTATGGAAAATTGAATCAAGCAAAAAATTATTCCCCCCGTTTGTTTTTACTTTAAATAATCCGATGATCTCCCATAGGATTCATATAAATCTATATTATTTTCACACACTAAAGGGAATTTTGACCGTGCATCAGACTGATAGCGCTTCTGGTCCTTATCGTCGTGTTTCAGGCATACCAGCTTCCAGTATATCAGTTAGCTACCTACTATACTATATTATACTAGACCTTTATAACATCTTTATAACAATTCAATCGCAGCTTGAACTCGAGTCTTTGAACCATACTGTGATCGATGGGTGAACGCGTAAAGTTTGCAGTATTTCCTAGTATTATTTACAGTTATCTACACATGGAGGGTTCAGCAGGAATGAAAAATGCCTACACGAAATTGCTCTCGTTTATCCCAAGGGTAAAAAACAAATGACTGGATTCAACCCTTGGGGTGAAGAGACGAATAATCAACTGTAATAAAAGACTGGTCGGAATCGCTGACAGATCAAATTGCAACATGTACACTTCGAAATCGGCGAAGAAGATAATGAGAGCCTAGAACAGTTTATAACGGCAGGATTTGATAAAGCAAAGCAACAGATTTTCCAACAAGAAAATCGTTTTAGATTTAATTAGTTAAAACTGATGGATATACGATTTTTCCGGCCATATGTCAGTTCAGAAGGCCCATCGATATCCTTGTGACCGTATTCTGGCACTTTCTCTAAGAAAGATAAAACGAATTTTGGCCGAAACGAATTTTTTCATATAGCAAGGGATGGAGTAAATGGCATCCAGCGAAATTCTTTTGATAGCCCTCTAACCGATGTGGCAGCATAAGAAATGAGTGGGAACAAAAGAAGTTGATATTTTGCACCCATTCTCGGTTATCTCCGCTTATGTTTTTGCCTTATGGATCTTTACCAGTTTTCCTTTCACAGCTGAGGAATTATTTCACACTAGACCACTTTTTAATGTGGAAAATGTGTTGGAGGTTGATGATTAAAAATACCGATGTGCCTCAATCAATCGATATCCACATTTATATAGCGGGTGAAAGCATTCCATATTTCACGTTTGTGCGCGAAATTTCAAATTTCGTGCAAAAAGTTACTATGCACTTAAAACTCACTTTCAGCCCATTTAACATAACATTTAACTTGTAAAGAATGGCTAGCGATTAATTAAAAGAAGAGCAATGCAAGCATAATCGATGGAAAATGTTGAAACCCGATTACGAAAATCAAGTATATTTATCGCTAATATTATCGCAAATAGCTTGTGGCATGAAATGTCGTTTGCATTGTGCTTCGAAATTGCTGACGCTTTGTTCGCTGGGAAAAATACAATAAGACTCATTTAATATTCATTATATTCCATTGTCGCCATTTCATTTTGTAAATTCTCAAGATTGGCTTATGTGTTTTCAAATAAAACCGAATTCAAAAAATGGTAAATTGCCGCGGTGAGTTTGTGCGGTGCAAATATCACAAACGCTAAATCTGTTTGAAACAAGATATGATTTCGAATCTTGAAGCAGGATTTTATTGGAACTTTGAAATATAAAAAGGAAAAAGGGGACGTCAAAATATAATCCTTAGCTGTTTTGAATAGCAAACGAACCATTAAGGGCTTTCAAGACAACTTTGCAATTACGAACATTTGATCCACAAACATGGGGCGATGGAAAAAAGCGGTCGCGCAAACGTCCCAAAAACAGAAAACAGAAAAATATGTAGAATCAATGTTCAATCGGTTTGCTTAATTTTAATGAAACCAACGATGATCCTATAACATGTTAAATTATTTTCAATATCCGTTTACAGTTTTCTGAAGGGTTTAAGAGATTATCATATTTCACAAGCCGACGCAACAAAATCGTCAAAGTATCAATAGCGAGAATTTCAGATTCGGCAAGTGAATATAGAAGACAGAATTGTGGAAATCGGGCGACTGACATTGTCTTTTGTTCGCAGCAAGTGATAAAGAGGAAAATGTTGAGAAATTGAATTAAACTGACATGAAAATCCTACAATCCTAAACAAAAGGATTGAATTTTGAATGCCCCACTCCCCATTAAATGGTTATCGAGCGCCAACAAGAATTTTCGTGGATTAGCGCGGATATCTACATTGGAACTTAATTGGAAACATTTTAATCTGCTTCTTAAAAGCTAACAGCTTTGGACAGTTTTATAAAACCCAAGACCCGTTTATCTCAGTTTTGAAAATGAATGAATATTGATGGAAAGTACGCGAAAATGATTGACTTCGCAGTAAATTAATTTAAGTTGGCGAGTCATCTTGGATTAATCCCTCACAAACCATTTCACTTTGAGCTAAGAATGCTATCAATGGAAAAATGCATGGATAATAACTTACATATGTTTTGCATTATTTGCATATCGTAATCACCAAGCAGTAAATGGTATTTATTGTACATCAGCCCAGATAAAAAGCGGATATTGTACTTCAAATCCCGCACAATTCCACTTTTTTTATAGAAACTTTAAGTGCTTTGAATGGTTCCCTCTTGAGGAATTGTACAATGAAACTTTGAGCAGAATGTTATTGTTCTTAAGTTAAATAATGGTCTAATTCAATTTATGAGCTGGAAAAAGGCTTTTGCTAATGCAAACCAAGAAACGTGCGCTTAAAAGCCGTAAAAACTGCGGGTAGCAAAAGACAAAATAAAAAGTGTTTCTCCCTTGAGGACGTTGAAAGGGGAGTTGTAAGGGTCCAGTGAGGCGCCCAAAACTCCACCGAATCAACTACTTTCATCATCGGTGACTGTTGTATTATGTCAAAGCAACATTATTTATGGCGAGCATATTTACATTCTCCATGTGGACGCGCTTATTTGTTTGTTCCAGTTTGCCTCTGGCCCCTACATAGCTTTAGCAGATTGATTCCATATTGGATCGCGGATAGCATCAGATGGAATATATTCTGGCAGATAATTTATATGAGAAAGATTTATGTAACACGTTGCCTGGCATGCAATGCGTTTTTTCATCACGTATTTCCCGAAACTCAATTAAGGCATTTACTCGCCCAACTGGCACAAGTAAGCAGTTGGATACAATGCTAGCAACCCGAAGTTCATTGTAACTGGCAAAGGTTCATCTGATAACAACGCCCTTGTCGTTCTGCTTCTTGGGCTTATTCCATTTGTTTTCCCTTTCACTTCTCCAAAGGGTCAGCTCACAATTATTTTTTCAGTAAAATGAAACCCGACTTGGTCAGCGACAGTTCAAATCCTCTTAACTAGAATGGGTAGGAAACATAATTGAAAGGGTGATTATTTTATTTCCACTGAGAAGCAATGATTATGTATTTAAAAGTTGCGAGCACTCATCTGCAGAGCTCAGGTGGTCCTTTCTTGGATCATGGCGCCCTAATTCTGAAATAATTAACACAACCATCTGAGCATCTAATTTCGTCCCTTGCAGCAAAACCTGCCAAGGGTTTTTAATGGGAAAATTGGTTTTTAATTGCCGTCTGGCACATCCATAGGCGCGGAAATATCCCTGTCCTAAACATTACGTGCTTACTTTAATAATTGCAATTTGTGAACCGTTACCCTGCTGTTAATGGACATAAATAACGGAAAGAAAACTGTCGCTCTGTGAGAATGTAGCTGAATATTTGCATGAAATGATCGAGTATATTAAGCGACTGACTACTAGCAATGTTCCATGTTGTATATGCCGAGGGCTGTATAATATGCTTCCAGCCCCCTAGTTCCCCCACATTGTGGCTACTAGCGGTTATGTGATCTCCCATATGTGAGGACCATCTGCAAAACATCCGTTACATCTACGTGATTCGCTTCTCTAAGTTTTTCTTTCGGGTTTCAGCTTCCTTTTTTCTTCGCAACAGGATTTTGCATATTCTTCTGATTGGCCCTACAAACCCCCATTTATAGCCGTCATTTTTAATTTTTGAGCACCCCTCATTTGAAATATTACATCATTTGGAGCTGTGGTAACGGCTTAATCGCCTGGACTCTGCGATGTTTGGTAGGGGAGACATCCCGGTAAAATCCCGTGCGGCAAAATATCCAGAGTAATAAGTTTGAAATAGGTACATTCATCAGCTAACTTTGTCT